TCATCAGTTCATATTCATTTCTGGGGAAATAAAGACCCTGGATTCCTTCCAACTCAAGTTCTCTCATATCTGGTAGAAACCATGTTCCAGAATTTTAGAGTTTCTCACTATGATGATTATAGCAAAAGCCCGCAGAGGAGGTGGGAGGGGAAGCCAAATGACCTTCACTGACTTTGAAACTTTTCTCTTAAGAGATGTAGCCTCACCATGGACTCCTCTTCCTGCATCCCTATTGCTTTTATCTGGAGAGTTTGTTAAGGGTGACTTGAAGCCACAAGTAGGACAAAGCAATGTTTCTTTTCTTGTACCTCTCCCTTTCCATTTATTTTCAAGGGACTTCTGTATCTGGCAATCAAAATGCCCTACATACTCCCCTTTTAAAAATGTCAGAAAGTAAGCCATCTCCAAGTGACAGACTACTGCCACATTTGACCACAGAGAAAAAAAGACAAGAGCCTTTGGTGTGGGTGATACCTGTTTGCTAAAACAAGTCCTCTGTTCTTTTTCCTAGAAGACCCCCTACCCCCCACCTTTAAATCATAGCTAACAGGTTTCTAGTATGAGGACTCCAGTGTTCCTGCTTATAGGAACTCTAACTCTTCTGTCACTTAATAGCTGAACAATCTGTACTAAGTCAATTTAGAATTGGATGTCTGAGGGTTTGTAGGCACCATATAATCACCCAGGGGATGAGTAAATGTGAGGTGGGAGTCGGTGGGAGTCTTCAGCCAGTTTTAGAAGAGCTGGTTGAATTTAAAGTGTGTGTGTGTGTGTGTGTGTGTGTGTGTGTGTGTGTGTTAAAAAGTGTCTCAATTATTTTTTCAGAGTCAAAGTAAATATCTTTGAATGGCCTAAAGATGCCAGCTCATAGACCCTGAATTACGTAAGTAGAGGCCATATTTCTTTTCTGGGTGCAATTATTGCATTGTTAAGAATGGCTTTCTATTCACAAGCCTGTGATTCACTTTTCATAATGTGACATCTTAGTTCAACTGAGAGGGTCATATATCAAGAAGCTAGCTGGTCCTTTATTTTCTCTGTTCATTCTTTCTATCCTTCCTTCCTTCCCTCCCTCCCTCCTTCCTTCCTTCCTTCCTTCCTTCCTTCCTTCCTTCCTTCCTTCCTTCCTTCTTCCCTCCCTTCTTCCTTCCTTCCTTCTTTTCTCCCTCTCTCCCTTCTTTCCTTTCTTTCTTCCTTCTTTCTTTTTTCTTTCTCTCCTTCCCTCCCTCCCTCCCTCCCTCCCTCCCTTCTTCTCTGCCTGCCTCTCTCTCCTTTATATAAATAAGCATCCTCTCAATAATATTGTTGGAAGCAGGTCTACTCCTTTTGAGCACTGCTTACTAAAAGTGCTTGCATATATGAATTTGCTCACTGTTCTACTAGGCTGTATCAACACAGGACATCCTGAGGGGCTTAACTCCATGTGCTCATTTTCAGGCTTAAAAAGCATCCAGAAACATAAGTGAGGACCTGTCTCTTCGAACATTTTATCTATGTCCAATCTGTCATCATCAAAGAAGACACAACCAAGAGTTTAAAAGGCTTTAAAGTAAAAATTCCCAACAGGAGACAGATGAAATATGAGGTGAATTATCAACTCCACTGGGAGCAGCTACCTTCATCAATTTTCTCCCAGTTATCTCCAGTTTTCTTCCCCATATCTACACCCTGAGCTACGAAGACTTAGGGTGAATATGGCAGGTGGAGCTTGTGGGAAGAGGCTGAGACCAGTTATCTATTCAGTGGCCTGCTTTTTTATAACTGTGCTGGTCTACATAGCAAATAGGGGTCATTTTAACTCTTGTCTACTGTGAGGTATATATATATATATATATATATATATATACCTCACAATAAAAAGGCACATTTAGCCAAATGCAGAGGCCTTGTAATCAGGTTTAATCCCTTGGACAGAAATTCCCAAAGGAAGAAACCATTAATACTTAGGATCCTAGAGTCAGTATACCATGTGGGTTTGTTTTCCAAAGTAAGGAGTTGGGGAAGGAGGGAGGGGGGAGGGGAGGATAACATAAAACAGCACAACATGGTACCCGAAAAGAGTACTGACCAGTAAGTTTTGTCAAGACACAAGGAAAACATCACCTCTGAGCACAAAGCCCACGTGTGGAATGTGTCAATAATGTTTCTTCTCCATAGCTTCATTCTCATGGTAAGTTTTCCCTCTAGATATTTGGTTTTGATGACAGACATACAAGCTTTTCAAGCACAATACAGATCAAGGAATGTAAAATAATCTTCATGTTCCTTTGAAACTCTTCTGCAAGAATGGTTATTACAACTGGCAGCAACCAATGCTGGAGCTGCTCCGTCCTTTCACATCTGTATTCAATGCCAGGAGGAGCTTAGTCATAGGAAGCAAGTGGCTGTGAGTGATTGGGCCAGAGCCCTTCGTCATACACAGAGAGGCAACGTGCAGTCTGGTTGATTAATCAGGAACTTGTAGTGAGAAAGGCTAGGTATCATTCACAGCAGACGGAGGGTTAAAGGCATTTGGTAGAGAACTCTGGAACACTGCTTTACAAGTTACATGCAAACACATGTGTATGCGTATGCATATATATGTATATGTGTGTACACACACAAATATAACACACATACCTGGATAGATTTATACAGGTATGCGTGCATCTATAATCCCTCCCTAGAACAAGAGTGGGCAGCTTTCAGAGTAGCAGTCAAAAAAGACTTGTGTCCACACTTTTTTTTTTCACAAGTTAACAATGGAATGACTTCTAAATCTTTGGTTTATCAAAAAACAAGAAAGAAGAAAACTTCTAAAATCACCTTTTTTGAGTATTTTCTCAAATAAGTGCCCAGTGAACACATTTGTTTTTTACAAAAGAAGAAACAGTGCCTCAGTGACTTAAATTAAACAAAACAACAGCAATAGCTAACTTTCTACAGCATGCAATATTATAATGGTGAACTGGAGTCACATTGAGCCTTAAGAGAAACTGTCCTGCAATTTGAGTTTTTGTTTTTTCCATTCCCGCCGCCATCCCCTTCCCCCCCAACTTCCTGATAAAACACAAGGGGGAATGAGGAACACTCACTAACCTATAATCTTTTTTTTTAACCCTCCAACATTTGTAATGTGCAATTGTCCTTCGCTTCCAGCCCTAAAAGATTCTCTTCTGTAAATATCACCCAGATATAACTTTACAATACAATGACTTCCAATTTCTTCAGAGTAATGCAACTCAAGTTTGCCTGTAAATCACATGAAACTTGGATGAGCTTTGTGACCAGTGGGCCACATCACCAGTTTCTACCTAAGGAAATTCTTGTGAATTCCTTTTGCAGCAAATTAGGCATGTTATGAATAATATCTATGAGAGAGCTTGGATTAACTTTTTAAAAAGAAATGGCTTTAATAGGTGGATGGCAGCTTCTTGAAGTTATATGGGGGTTTACTCTCCTGATGGGTGTGGGGTGGGGAGGGGAGATGGGCAAAAGAAGAATAAAAAAGGATTTATATGTTTTAAGAAAAATTGAGTGAGAGGAAAAGAAAAAAACTGAAGTGGGAGTCCCATAATAAAAGAACAAAAGAAGAATTTAGACCCTTGTAAGAAGTTGTAACTTGGTGCTGGTGGCTCACGCCTATAATCCTGGGTACTCAGGATGCTGAGATCTGAGGATTACAGTTTGAAGCCAGCCCAGGTAGAAAGGTAAGACTCTTATCTCCAATAAAGCACTGGAAAAACTGGAAGTGGAGCTGTGGCTCAAATTGGTGAAGTGTTAGCCTTGAGTAAAAAGAGCTCAGTGACAGCACCTAGGCTCTGAATTCAAGCCAAATGACTGCCAAAAAAAAAAAAAAGGAATTGTCACCCATAGCATCTCTTCTCAGGATATGTGAAACAATCTTGCTCCCTTATCCCCTGTGCCTTCAGACTATAAAAGTAGGGGGCTTGTGTTGGAGAATCTGCAGAATCTCTTTCTGCAGGGGGATTTCTCGCTTCAAGATTTTCACCGATAACCAGGCATGGTGGCTCACACTTGTAATCCTAGCTAGTCAGGAGGCTGAGATCTGAGGTTCGAGGTTCAAAGCCAGCCCGGACAGGAAAGTACATGCGACTCTTATTTCCAATAAACCACTAGAAAACCAGAAGTGGCACTGTGACTGAAGTGGTAGAGCGCTGGCCTTGAGCTGAAGAGCTAAGGGACAGCACCCAGGCCCAGAGTTCAAGCCCCACGACCAACCAAAAAAATAAAGATTTAGCACAGATACTCTGGGAGAGATTTGGGGTCCTGGAAGAAAAGAAAAAAATAGTTCTGGGTGGCTTCTTGGGACTTAGTGCAAGTTAGTTAGTTGCTCTCAGTGATCATACAATCATGGATTGGAACCAGTCCAGTGTGTGTGTGGGAGGTGTAGGAGTAGGGGGACATTGAGTTGATTTTATTTTCCTGGGAATGGATCGCCCCACTACTCTACCTCAAGGTCTCCCTCACTGAAGCTGGGTCTGGCAGTTCTCTGGAAAGACAGATAGTGGATAGGAAGTGGCCTTTCCATGGGTGTATCTTCTGTAAACTTTGACAGACTGGCTTTGCTGTACTCCCCCCCAAGGCTTGACATTTTCTTTCCATAGTATGTCTAGTAAATTCAGGCCAAAAGCTTGCATTGTTGAGTTTACACCCTAACCATGCCTGAGGAGGAGGAAAATAAATCTATGGGCTAGAAAGAAACAATACTGATATTCAAAAAGGCAGCGAGAATTTGGTTTTTTGGCATCCTTAACTGGAGAAAGCACATTTTTGAATGTATTGCTGAAATAATACTGAATGTTGGTCAATATCACACCGTGGATACAGTTGTTTTGTTTTGTGTTTGATTTTTCTTTTCAAATTGATGTGTGTTGGTATTTGTGGATGGTCACAGAAGTTTTCCTGGCTTCTTTTCAATTTTCTTTATGTTGGATGACATCAGTATTTGTGGCTTGTGGCTTTCCCCCATGAGACCCTGTTGGTTGCCTTCTTGTGCCCTACCATTGCTGTAAGTGAAGATCCATGGGGGAATTCAAATTAAGATCTGTAACATCCAGGAAGTCGATGTTGAAGATGCTGGGGCCGCTGGTGGCCAGGGAGCTGAAGCCTGGGGTGGATCCAGGTGGGGTGAGGTCCAGCCACTCCATGGTCTCCCACGGAGCTTCTGTGAAGCTCAGCTGCAGACCATTGCTGTCCATTGACGAGGGTGAAAACTGGGTGTGCATCGGGGAGAGGGGACCCGGCAGGATCTCATGGGCGTTGAACAGCTCTTCTGCAGACTTCCCAGAGAAGCCATCCATGATCCCTTCAAAAGCAGGCTCCTCATTCCCAATTTTGAGCAGAGCGACATCGCTCACCTTTCCTACCGGGCTGTGGGAGTTTAGCAAGACCTCCAGGTGCTCCTCACTGTCGGTGTAGTGGTCAAAGGAGACCTGGCCCCCTCCAGAGGACGACTGTGAGAAGGAGGCCGAAGGCTTAGGGAGGACGGCAGTGGGGCTGCGGGAGGACTGGGCTATCTTTGGAACTTTTTGAAGGCATAAATGATCCTCTCTGGCATCAGCTGGCATTTCTGTGGGTAAAACACAACACAAGGTGAATAGTTAAATCACTGCTGACCCAGCACGGCCACGCAGTGGGAGACTGGAACGAATGAATTGCACATAGACAGACATAGCAGGTGGTCATAGTTCCATGCTCAAGTCTCATCCCTAAACTGCTCTGGGTGGCCATGTTTCTTGGGTCTCTCCCCCTACAAACCGTGTGTTCCAGAACTTGCACTCTGATCGTAATCAAGCGCTTGTCCACAAACTCCTTTTCCTCCTTTACCATCCCCTCCATTATCTTCTCTTTGGGAGCCAGCAAGTAAAGGGACAGGTGTCACTCCCATATCCACTATTTTGATTATTACTCTCCCTCCTTGTGTGTGTGTGTGTGTGTGTGTGTGTGTGTGTGTGTGTGTGTGTGTATGTGTGTGCTTGAACTCAGGGCCTGTCCCTTAGTGTTTGTTTTCTGTTTTTTGTTTTCAAGGCAAACAAAGTGGAGCCACAACTCTGCTTTCAGCTTTTGGGTGGTTAATTGGAAAGAATCTCCTGGACTTTTCCTGACTGGGCTGGCTGTTAGTTGCAATCCTCAGATCTCAGCTTCCTGAGTAGCTAGGATTATAGGCATGAGACCCTGGCACTTGGCTTATTCCCTTCCTTCTTACTAGTCCTCGGAGGTACTTAAGCAGCACCTCCCCCCCATACCAAGCCTAGCCTCCTATCAGACTCTCTTATCCACTTAAACCTCATTTCCCCATTCACTGCATTTGTATGTCTTCAAAGTTTCTCATTCTGTGAGACTTCGACGTCCTCAGAATTGCTTATGATCCGCACTGGCCTTTCAGCTCCTGGACTTCCCCTTCAGGTAATTGCTCTGTTGCACCATCAGGGAGAGGGGACCCAGTAGGGTCTCATGGGCGTTGAATCCCTCCAAGGGATTCCATTTCAAGCAAAATTTCCCACTCTTGATCCCTCCTCTCTCACCCCTCCTGCTCTGGTCTCAAGTACTCAGGAAAATGATTTGGCAGTCACTTTGGAGTCAACTCTAATCCACTGACTCCACAATTTTACATCTGCCCATCAACTTCTGCATCCACCTCCTTCCTTGGCTAGCCCATGTTCTTTGATCCACCAATAGAGTTATTCTCTTGCAAATATGCTGTACTCTGTTGTTCTTCTATCTTTTCTCTGTACTAGCTTAGCAAAATTCCTGGAAAAACCTTACCATCTGCTTCTCCTGTGTGCCTGCCCTGAGTTAAATGGTAATTTTTTTTTTTACACAACTGAGATGATGGGTTTCGCTTTAAATTCATGCCTATCATTGGCATTGGAAAGTGAGCAACCATCTTAATTGCATTTCTCTAGAAAACTCAGTTCATTCATGATGAACTCATAACTATTCTTTTGTCCTGGAGTCTCCCAGTCTCTCCTAACTCTTCCCTATCTGTGCTACATACTCTGTCTTAAAGAGGGGCATCTGGTGTGGGCTTTCATATTCCCATCAGAAAACATATATGCAACTCTTCTTTCTTGTTACAATAGGAAATACCTATTCAGTTGTTTGTTATTCGTGACCCATACTAGACTGTATCTCCCATAGAGGTCGGCAGTTTTCTGGTGAAGTCTTGAATCAAGCATGATGCCTGGCCAATCCTTCTCTGACTTCAAATGTTGATACCTATTGTTCAGCCCTGTGTGTGTACTCTCCCTCACTCTCTGTTTCTCTCTCTGTCTCTTTCTCTGTCTATCTCTTTCCCTATGTCTATCTCTATCTCCTTCTTGCTACCTACACATATTCACTTTAGATCCTTTCATTCATTTCTGTGTTTTCAGATTCTAGGTACATACTCTATAATTCTTTAAAATAAGTAAATGAATAAGTTAAAAGAAAGCAAGGAACACAAGATAATTGCTTTGTTTTATTAGTAAGTTGAATGATGCTTAAGCATGAATGGACCATCCAGCTGAGTTTCAGTTTGAGTAAGTAACACAATATTTTCAGTATCTGTTGGATTTCATCTTACAGTTAAGGAGATAGGGACAGTTAATTTGGAATGGGAGAAAGACATGGTTTACGAAGAGAAAGGTGGAAGAAATAAAAACTGTTTAGATGATGGGTGAAAAGTGTTGCCAGGATGGAGGCAGCAAGGAATCAGCCAGTGCTGCACCTGAAGCTCAGAAGAAATGACTCGACCTGCACAACACTTGGTACTACTGACTCAGTGTGTATCACATTGGTCCTAACACATCACATCCCAGAATGCACAGGTGCAGTGGATGCTAGTAGGCGGAACACAAGGCAGTCTTACCTCCACTTTCAATAAGGACATCCAGAAGTTCATCCATCTGCTGGCTCCGAGTCATTTGCTGGTATAAATTAATCAATGGAAAGCAGAGAGGTTAGAAGGTGGTTTCTTCTGGCAGAAATCAGTAGGATTAGTATGTTGTTGAACTAGGGTTGTTTAAGTTTTTTTTAATTGTAGTAAGATGTATATAGCATGAATTTACCATCTTAATCATTTGTAAGTGTACTGTTCTGTGGTATTAATTACATTCACCTTTTTTGAGCAATCATTACCACCATTCATCTCCAGTGCACTTTTCAGCTGCAAAACAGAAATTCTGCACCCATTAAACAATAACTTCCCAACTCACACTTTCAGCTCTTTTTGGTGATAGCAGGGTTTAGAACTTAAAATCTTATGTTTGCTAGGCAGGTGCTCTACTAATTTAAGCCCTGATTCCAGTCTTTCTTGCTTTCATTAGTTTTTGAACAGGCTTTTTTCATTTCACCTGGGCTAGTCTAGACCATACTCTTTTTATTTACACTTCCTGCATAGCTGGGATGACAGATGTGTGTCATTAGGCCCAATTTTTTATTGGTAGAGATAAAGTCTTATGACTATTTTTTTTCTATGTGTGGCCTTGAACCAACCAGGACCCTTCTGCTGTGCGCTTTCTATGTAGCCTGCATTCTAGCCAGGAGCCACTCTGGCTGGCTCACCATATCAATTTTCTGTCTATGAGTTTGACTACTCTCAGCCCCTTACATAAGTGAAATCATATAGTGCTTTTCCTTTTATTTTCCTAGTTATTTCACTGATCATCAGGTCCTTAAGGTTCATTTGTGTTGTAGCATGTGTCAGAATATCCCTCCTACGGACAGACCAACTATTATCATGTGATCTACTATATTTTGTTTATCCATTCATCTGCTGATGAATGCTGTTTCCATCTTTTGGCTACAGAGTATACTTCTCTTATGAACTCGGTATTGGCTGAAGGCTTTACCTTACAATTGAAATAATCCTTTCCAACAAAAGGGGAAAGGAAGAGAGAATGAGCCCTGGCATATGGCATGTACTTTAGTTCATCCATATGAGAGATTTCCACCCTGAGTTCAATTATCACACACTTAGAAATGAACTAAATCTGCCTCTTGTTAGGTTGCTGTGAAGGTGGTTCAGGAACTTGGCTCAGAATTCTTCTGTTCCTCTCAGTAAAAGCTTGAGAAACCTGTAGACCCTTGTGCATTTATCCCCTTCTCTCTGCCAATGAGACATGGCTAAGTAGAGTCTCATTTCTGGAAGCCCATTTTTCCTGGCCTTTTTTCTTTTCTATCAAAGCTGTGAAGAATCAGCAGGCATCTTAAATACCAGGAGGGAGGAAGTGAGGAAAAAGCAGCGGTCCCTTTCACTCTCCTCAATTCCCAGAGCCAATCACTATCAGTGGGTATCAGTAATCAAAATAGATGGGAAAACTGCCCAAAGAATGAGTTATGGCTGGTCCAAAAATTCCCACAGCCTATAGGATCCTGGAAGTTATGTAGAGTCAAATATAGAAGAACTGTTGTTTGGCAGAAAAGTGCTTCTCATATTGCCAGATTCCCTAAATTTTCAGAAATGAGAAATCCCTCTTTGCACAATGCCTTTGATCCTTCACATACTCTGTAGACCAAAGGAAACCTGGTCAGCAATGGATTTAGATATTCTTTCCTGGGTTGAACACAGGGTTATCTGATTCTAAATCAAAGCTCAAATCATTTGAAATACCATCATCCGTCAGTATTGTTAATACATTGGTTCTAGCAAGATCCTTTACTGGAAAATCTTCAGACGCTCGAGTATCCTGCATGAAAGGAAGTACTATTTTCATAAACATTCCCACATTCTCCTGTGTACCTTAAATTATCTCTAGATCACTTATACTTCTTGATGTAGTTTAAAGGCTTTGTGAATGGCTGTACTGCCTTGTATGGGGAATTATGATAAGAGAAGTCTGTGCATCTTCAATACAGAGGAACCCATCCTAGGCCTGTCATAATATGTGATCAGACATAGGGAAAGAATACTTAGTCACTGAGCACAGCAGAGAGATACGAGAGGTGCGGAATAAATCATGGACAATGGATGCAGCGTGCACATCACTTCATCCCCATGGACTCAGCCCAGTGATTGGCAGGTGGCAAATTCAAGTTTTGCTATTTGGAACTTGCAAGAATTTCTTTTCTTCCCTGTGAGTTCCCCAGCTAGTTGAATCCAGATACAGAAGGCTGACTATGTAACATTGTTCATTTTTGTTTTCTTACTTTCCAAATACAAGTGGAAGTAGAGGTTAGCATGAGTCTTCCTGCATTGATTTAACCAGATTCAATAACTTGCAATAGTTTGTCAAGATCACTTAATTTAAAGCTAGAAAGAAGCATAGAATGCATTGCCCTGAAAACCACTCTCTTATATTTGAGTTTTTACCAAGTGCCCAAAAAATGAATGTGGTAGGTGTTAGATTATCATCCTTATTTTATAGATGGGAAGTTGAATAGATGCCCAACCTCCATGGTAATGACAGGTGGCAGAGTTGGCACCAAGATCGGGCATCCTGGATGCTATCCCAGCCCCTTCTCCCTGCAGCCCTGAGTTCCACAGATGCTCCTCAGCTTACAATGAATTATGTTTGGATCAACTGACTACTATAAACTGGATATGCATTGACCACCCCTACCCAATGCATCACTTTAATTCTGATGCATATAAAGCACAGTTATTTCCTCTCAATTGTGTGGTTTACTGGGAGCTGTGGCTTCTAGACCAGCATCCAGAGCATTGTGCTACATTCTGTTAGCTCAGGAAAATATCCCAGTCCATAACACAGTTGGTTTTGTGGGGGGTGGGGTGCTGCCAGCCTTGGGGCTTGAACTCAGAGCTTGGGCACTGACCCTGAGCTTTTGTGCTCAAGGCTAGTGTGCTAAACTACTTGAGCTACAACTCCACTTCCAGCTTTTTGGTGTTTAATTGGAAACTTCCTGGCCTGGGCTGGAACCATGATCCTCATATCTCAGCCTTCTGAGAAGCTAGGATTACAGGCATAAACCACCAGCACCCAGCTCATAATAAATAGAGTTTTGCCTGTGCTTCATATTGTACCATGATGAAGTTGGAAAGTCATAAGTTGAACCCTAAGTTTCATTTGTCTATGTCTGTGTGCAGTATGTGTAGAGACTTTGTTTATTCCGCTAGGGAGCCACTCAACACACTCAATATCAGAATTTACAAACTGCATGCTGTAATAAGATAAAACAACACCCACGGACTCTGTCTATCCTTCTATAAAGAATAAATGGGGTTACCTGCTTTACTGCATCTTCATAGGATGGAGGTTGGGTTATGTCTGGAACCGCTGAACTCGACTTAGAAAAAGTTGGGGATGGAATTGAGAACTTCGGCCCTGTCTTATCAGCAGAATGTATGCCAGCCATCTGCATGTAGGCAAAATAGAGAAAGACATTTAATTCTTGGGTCAGAAGTAATGCAGCTTCTTCTCTAGAAATCAAAGGCTACATTTAGAAAAAAAAATGATCTAAGATCAAATGATAGTAATAAAAGCCAGAGATAAGAAAATAACAAACAACTTTAATATACTAACAATGGCATGTATCACTGTGGATGACTGCTGGTGATATCTTAGCCTGGGATCCTCACAGATCTGTTTCCTTCTCTGAAGAACACCTGAGGAGCACTTACAAAAGACAGGTTGAGAAAAGGAACTAGAAGAAGAGTCCAATCCAATGCAAATCAGTTCCTCAAGCCAGGATTTCCAGAGTACTTCATTTCCTCAGATCAATTTATTCCAAACTGGGGCTATTTTCAGTGTCAGAGAGGGCATTGCTGAGTTCTCTCTTCCTGAATCATTTGCTTATTGTATATTCTGTGGAGTGCCTGATGTATGTCTGGATCTCTGCCTATCTTGTGGCTTTTTTTTTTTCTTTCAGTTATTGAGATTTACACTCATAGCTAGGCTCTGTCCTTTAGCTTTTTTGCTTAAGCCACAGCTCTACTTTTAACTTTTTGGTGGTTAGTTAGAGATAAGGGGCTCATGGACTTTCCTGCCTGGGCTAGCTTTGAACTATGATTCTTAAATCTCAGCCTCATGGGTAGCTAGGAATACAAATCTGAGAGACTTAGTACCTGGCAATATGTGTCTTTGTTATGTTATGACTTGCTTATCTTGGTGTTTTTCTACTCCCTCCTCTGCTCCTAGGAACTTTTGGGCTCTTCATATCCTAGATCTCATCCATCATCAATGTGATGTGCATGGCTCCATCAGTTCATTTTCTACAGGGACCTGGCACTATGATTTCAATTTCCTGTATCCCTCTGCTCCTTTCCCAAGTGTTTAGTCCAATTTCGAGCTCCACAGAAACTGGATTGATGCCTGCATTGTTTTGCAAATATACCACGGCTACGTTAACCATCATGATTTCTGGGATGATCTTGGAAATGGCTCCTTGAGATACCTCCTAACCCTTATTTGTATATTCATTTCAAGGTGGTTTGATTAGACCTGTCTCTCTTTAAATTGAATACTCCACCTCTGAACCTCATCATTCACTTTAGAGGACAGAGTACATGGAGAGAGATGGATGAGGGAATGTGGATCCCAAGTTTGAACTTTTTCCAGGTCCTTACCTTTGGCTGTACACCTGGGCTTTTAGGACAAGGGTTGTTCCCAGCACCATGACTGCTGTCATGTGCCCCTGAATTCTGCAGAAAGGAAGAAGTGACAAATTGAATGGCCAGCAGCATACTTGAGTATGACTTTCACTTTTATGCTGGTACTGGGGCTTGAACTCAGAACCTCATGTCTTGACTTGTCTTTTTTTGGCTCAGTGATAGCTCTCTGCCACCTGCACTACACCCTCCACTTCTGACATTTGAGTAGTTTCTTGGACTTTCCTGCCTGGAACTTTGATCCTCAGATCTCAGCCTTCAGAGTAGCTAGGATTACAGGCATGAGCCAACGGCACACAGCTTAGTTTCTAGTCTCTGTTCTCTGTTCCCTAGTGTTTTATCTTTACAAAATTCCTTAAATTCTATGAGCAGATGGACTTGCTAAATGGAACTCCCCAAACCTAACTTTGCATGAGCCTATTGCTCACAAATACTGAGTGCAGGGGCTCTATATTATACTGGTAAATGTGTTCAAGACTGTACAGTATGGGGCTATTTACTTTTAGCTTTGTGGTTGCCTATATTCCTGCTGTGAATGTGACCTGTGCATTGTCCCTCTTGGACAAAGGCAAGTCATTGCTGATCACTGTGTTCTAGTAGTCTCCTTTTTTAGTGTTACTCTTCTAGAAAAATTCAAGCCCTCTAAGAAACCTTCCTGAACTTTCCCAGCACTTTATGACCATTCTACATGCACTTTCTCTACATGTACTTTGTACGGCATAATTTAATGCTGTCACCAAGTCATTATGTCATTTATATTGTTTTTCTTTTCATTACGGCATTGCAAATAACTATAAATGGCGATTGTCTTGCACCATGAGTCACTAAACAAATGCTCGTGATTCTTCATAGCACCAATGCTATCAAAATGGAAAATTACGTACAATTTTACCTTAAGGAGTTATATATCAAGAGACATTTCTACCTTTGTTGCCTAGGATACGCGACATGTGATGGATGCGTATTAGCAATGCTGACAAGCCACTTTGACCCTTCCAGCATGCCCCGGTCAGAAGTGGAAGCCATTCATCTGAATGGGTTACTCAGGTAGATTTGTATGAATTCCTCCTCATTACCGTTAGCCTCATCCCAGACTCAGCATAGTAATATTCAATCTGGCAATGGCATGAACTTTAGAACAAACTAATCATAAATTTGTGTGAGGTTGGGTGTCTTTAGCTTCATGCCCTGAGCTTCATTTTTCTCAAAGGTGAATAAAAAATAATACGTTGGAGGTCTTAATGCATGAGATTAAGTACACACATGCCTCATGATACAATCACTGTGGGCTGTTTATTCCTTTACAATTTGGAATTATTTTGTAGTGTGCTTTTGAAGTTTGCTGGGGGCTTGCTGTGATAGTTCCACACATATGCACGGGGCACTTGGAGAAAATTCACCCACTCCTATCATATTTTGATTGCTACTCTTCATCCTTTCCCCCTTTTCCAAGTGTTGTGTGGGTTTCATTGTGTTTTATTCATGTCCTTCAATCCTCTAGGTTATTATTATTATTATTATTAATATTTTAGATAAAGTGTAATCACTCCCTGTGTCAAGACTCTAACTCATAATCTTCCTGTTCTACCTCCTGAGTAGCTGGGATTACAGGTATGCAGCGCTGTGCATGGCTTCTTTTTGGGTCTCTAGAAAGACGATTTGAGCTGAGATAAAGATTGTCACTAAAGATTCCTGAGAAATAGCTAAACTTTGCTCACTGACTATTTTTGTTGGAATCCTATGCATTTATTTATGCAATGTGTATGGCTTCCCACATGATGCAACAGTAAAGCTGAGCTGGGCACACTTCTATAATCTTAGCCACTCAGAAGGCAGACATGAAGAAGGTTGTAGTTCAAGGTCAGCCCAAGCAAAAACAGTTTATGAGACTCTCTCTATCATCCCAAGCAATAGCCTGTCATCTCAAGTACAGTGAGAAGCACAAATAGGAGTATCACTTGTACCAACAAAGAAAGAGACCTGTCTCAAAAGGGCTGTGTGTCGTCCATGTTCATTGCTGTACTATTCATAATTGCCAAGTTATAGAAACAGCCCAAAAGCCCTCCAACAGATGAGTGGATCAATAAGATGTGGTACCTATACACAATGGAATTTACTCATCCATTAGGAAGAATAAGATTGTGTCATTTATAGGGATATGGATGGACTCAGAACAAATCATGCTAAAAAAAGAGATAAGCCAAATTCAGAGACAATGTTTTCTCTCATATGTGGAAACTAGAACTAAAATATAACTGGACAGGATAAATTACACAAGACTCTAGGTATCCACACACAAACAGACTAAAGGAGGATACCCTTAGGGGAGGAACCCAAAGATGTAACTTCTCTGAACACTCAAAACACTATAAAAATGAATTCCAGGAAAGGAAACATGCTTATCATTGTTTTGGGGGTTGTAGTAGTGTTTTGTTTTTGCTTCTGGATTTTCCAGAAGGGGAAGAAGGGTAAACAAATGCAGTCATCTTGTTCAGTGGACACTATGTGAAAAATGAACTGGGGGGAAAAAAAGAAAAGGCTGACATTTGTCTAAAAAAAGAAATGTACTCATTACCTGGTAACCCCCTTCATATCACCAATAAAATTATATTTTAAAAAAAGAGCTCTGTGTGTGTGACTCAAGTTGTAGAGCTGCAGCTTAGCAAGCATGAAACCCTGAGTTCTAATCCCAATACACCAAAGATGGATAGTTGTGACAAAGATGGTATGAACTGCAAAGCTCCAAATATTTACCTTCTTCTGGCCTTTGAAGTTGGTGAGCCCCTGACTTAAGGCACAACGGAATTGGATATCCCTGGGAAGGCTTGTGGATTGCATTGTATGTGTGGGACCCTTCCTCGCCCACATTCCAGCATCAGCATCCATCTCCTACTTCCCTGGGGAATGGTGCAAGGTGTTCTTACCTGTGCGGGGCACACCTGGCTGCTGCACACAGGGGAAGAGACCCTGTGTCCTTCCCCCTGCGCCCCAGGTAGGAAGTACTGGTTGTTGGGTGACGGGGGCAAGCTGATATGCTGTGGGCTCTTCATGGCTCCCAGGGGTGAATGCTGAGGAGAGCACTGTGGGCTGAGAAATGTGGAGGACAGTACGTTGCTTTGGCTTGAGGACTCTCCACCGTGCGCCTTCCCCAGGGGCAGGAGCGGAGCAGCGTCCCCAACAGCCTGCGCTTGGCCCTCAGCGCCGCTGCCCTGCCCTTTGGGTATTTGCTGGACTGCAAAGGGGCAGCTGGAGACGGCGTCCTCCTGCTTGATGGGGACCGCCAAGAAAGGCAACGCCTTGTCATCCGCGCAGTGGTGGCCCTTCTGCTTCTGCAGCTGCATCCGCAGCTCCTCCACCTGCCTCTGCTCCTGCTGCAGCTTCCAGGTGAGTTCATTGATCACCTTCTGCTTCTCCACCAGCATCTTGTCCTTCTCTGAGTCCAGCCCATCCAGCTCGGAGGGAGCCGAGCCCCCGTTCAAGCTGCTCAGGAGACTTTCCTCCGTGCACACGTGCACCGGGGACGGGTGCAGGCCGAAGGATGGAGACGCATCGTGGAAGGTGTCTGGCAGGGATCCGGCCACCGACAGGTCGGATGAGGCCGGGGAGATGGGTGGGCTGGAGCTGGTGCTGCCGAAGTGGTAGAAACCATTGGATAAGGCACTGGTGGAAGGGGGGGACTGGTAATTGGGCAGGGCATTGGGCGTAACAGGAAAAGTGACCGTGGTTATGTCCCCAAAGTTGGGCATAGGGTTTCCAGAGCAGTCTTGGAAGGGTCGGAGCCGGTCCATCAGAGCCGTCTTGGTGCCTGACACGGGCAAGCCTCGGATTCGAAGCTGTTGTCTTAATTCAGAAACCTAATGAATGAAAGCAGGACATTATTACTCTTGGTAATGACAGTATTTTAAAAAATGTATTTAAGGTTAGCTTTAAAGGATCAGGCATGGAATTTTTGCAGTACTCACTTGCTTTTTTATCAAATACTTCTTTGCAATTTCCTTGCTCATCCATCTTTCTTTCTTCCTGCCTTTCTTTCTTTCTTTCTTTCTTTCTTTCTTTCTTTCTTTCTTTCTTTCTTTCTTTCTTTCTTTCTTTTTCTTTTTGGTGTGTTTGCAGTGGGGCTCAAACTCAGGGTCTAGGTGCTGGCTGCCTCTCAACTTTTTCCCCTGAAGGTTTCTATTTGAACCACAGCTACACCTCCAGCTTTTGATGTACAATTGGAGATAAGAATCACATGGATTTTCTTCTCCAGGCTGGCATAGACCCATGACCCTCAGATCTCAGCCTCTTGAGTAACTAGGATTACAGGTGTGAGCCATCAGCACCAGGCTCCAATTTCCTTTCTTACCTCTAATATAAGTGAGTTTTGCCTACTTTTATTTATGTTTATTTTTGGTAGTACTGAGATTTAAACTCAGGGCCTTGTGTTTGCCAGGAAATTGCTTCTCTACCAAGCCACCCCCTAAGATCTTTATGATTTCCTTTCTTCTTTAATTAGGTCTTACTTTTATGCCTGGACCATTCTGGACCATGATTCTTCTAGTTAAGCTTTCTATATAGCTGGAATGACAGACATGTACCATATGCCTGGCTACTGGTTGAGATGGGAGTCTCACAATTTTTCTTTTTTCTTTTTGGCCTAGGCTGGCTTGGGACTGTGATCCTCCTAATTTCAGTCTCTGTTGTAATTAAGATTACAGGAGTGAGCCACCATCACCCCAAAACAATTCTTGGTTTTCTGTGTTCCTCAATGTGTGATAAACCCTTGGTAAGGTGAAAGTATCACTGAAATGAAAATGCATGGAAGACACATGACCTACTGAATGTGCTAGCTTATTAGCACTGTGAGCAACATCAGTTCATTCTTAAGACACAAGGCCAACTAAGATCTGACACCACTGTCTATTCGAGAGAAAATTGGATGGCTACTGCTAGCCTGGGAGAAGATGGATACTCAAAAGTGGAAGTGTGCTTTGAACTGATTGGGTATCATTGCTATACCATTATACATTCTAACATCATAAGTTCCACCCTTGTAAGTGATGAGCCATCTGAGGCATAAAACACCTCAGAACCATAGGAATGTAGAGCATAAATGAACATGGCCTTGGGGATGTTCCCAGGTGCTCTCTAACACCCACCCTGTCTCTGTTTCTGTAGACAAAGAAATGAGTGCCTGCCAGGCTTTAGACACATGTTTTCAAGCAGGCATTGGTGGGTTTGTGGGGCTTTGGCTTCCAGGGTGAGGTGTTTCTCCACCAAGTCTTCTTCCTCAAACATTGTGAGCTGAGGGCCTGGAGGGCATGACCATACAGACTGTGACTCCCTTCTTGGAGTTTTGTCTCAGCAGATCTGGGGTGGGGATCAGGGATATTTATGCTGCTGGTCCAGGGACTAGACTGAACATGTAACAGATCCTGATTTCAATAAATGCCTTGATAATAGTCACAGAGAGAGGGGGAGGGGAGGAGGATGAGGCCAGCTGCTGGTCCTGCCTCTTCCTCTGAGGTCCTTGGTACATGCTTAGAGAAATGGGATGATAATATCTGTTCTGTACTTTTTTCCTAATAAAGTGCAAATGGCTTAAAATTTGTAAAGCTTTGCTGGGCATGGGTGGCTCAGGCCTATAATCCTAGCTACTCAGGAGGCTGTGATCTGAGGATTGTGGTTTGAAGCAAGTCCTGGCAGGAAACTCTGTGAGACTCTCATCTCCAGTTAACCACCAGAAAACTGGAAGTGGAGCTGTGGCTCAAAGTGGTAGAGGGTTAGTCTTGAGCAGAAAAGCTCATGGACAACGCATAGCCCCTGAGCTCAAGTTCCAGGATTAGCACAAAACCAAAACAGAACAGGAAACATAACCTAAGGATCAACAATCATGAAGATAGAAGACTATGTAAGCTAATATAAGCTAATGTTCTTCTGAACATATGCATTTTTAGCATAAAAGCAAACAACGTAATCATAAAAATATTGACAACCAAAACTGAAAACTCTAAGTCATAAAGATACAAACAAAAATGCAGATACGAATTGCAGTCTTGGAGAAAAAAAGCCTTGCAACACAAATATCAAAATGCATACCAATGAAAAAGATAAAAACGGATACATCATAGTAAAATGAGATAGGAACTGAACGCCCATGCTTACTCCTGCAATCCTAGTTACTCAGGTGGCTGAAATCTGAGGACTGAGGTTCCAAGCCAGACTGAGCAGAAAAGTCCATGAGATTTTTTTTATCTCCAATTAACCACCAAAGAACTGAAAGTAGAGCTGTGGCTTAAGTGGTAGAGCACCAGACATGAGGGGAAAAGCAAAGAGAAAGTGCCCAACCCTTGCATTCAAGCCCCAGAACTGATCCTCCCTCCACAAAAAAACGAGTTAGAGATGTGACCCAGCTGTTCATAAACAAAAATAAAATCTAAAAATATGTGGCCCACTGTGCATTGCCATTAGTAATTCAAGGAATTCAAATAAATAAAGATGTGCTCCCATTCACCAAATTGATCGAGACAGTGAGAAACTGACCAAGAAATGGCTGAGTGCAAAAGGTATGAGCAGCAAAAAAGAAATACAAATGTTTAAAAGGCAAAGGTATTATTTGTCATTCTATGCAAAGGGTAGTTCTGGAACTGGCCCCATCAGCAGTATTGGGGAGCTAGTTAGAAATGCTGAGTCTTGGATCTCTCCTGAGATGTAATGAATAAGAATAGCATTTATCTAGCACTAGGGGGACTGACATTGACATTTAGCTAGCGCTAAATTAAAAAATTATGCTGCATTTTAGTCAGTCTGGAACCATTGTTTAGGACTGAAATTTAGTAATAGGTATCAAGAATGTTTTAAAATACTGATACATTTTAGTTTAGGAATTTCTAGTCCCATGTAGTCAGCCTAGAGAAATAATCAGAGGAATTAATAAGTGTATGGGCAGAGGTCACTGAAATCATGTTTTAAATAACAAAAATCTGGCAGCCAGTTAAATGTCCAAGAATGGAATGCTAACTAGGTGGTAGAGTGATATGCTGCTATTAAAAATGAAAGTTTTATTGAATATTAAAAAGTTATGAAAAATGTTCATGAGGTGTTAAAAAAGCATGTCAGAAATTTATGGACACACAGTTATTTAAAAGTAGTAATCAGGAAACAAAATATGTTCATCTGCATTTTTAAGTCTAGAAGGAAACATGATCTGGTATGCTTCCTCTGAGTCTTAACTATCTATTAAAATAAAGTTTACTTTTCTAAATGCATTATATTTCATCTTTGAATACATGTGACTTAATAATAAGCTAAAGTTTTCAAAAAATTTTATCAACCAGCAATATGACAGTTTCCCCATAGTTTTACTGGTACTATTTCCTTTTCTGTCTGTCTCTGTCTGTCTCTGTCTGTCTGTCTTTTTGTTTTTAGATTAGCTAGTTTTGAAAAGGGCAAGATGGCAACTCATTATTGTTTTAAATTTTGAGTTACTTAAAATTAATGAGTTCTCTATTTATTTTTAGAATCTGTTCTTGCACTGAATATTTTAAGCTGCATTATTAAATAATGCAGCTCATACTCGAAAATGAAATGAATACTTGTTGAGTTCAATTTACCTTGGATTTCAGACTATTAGACTGTGTGGGCTTGTATGTGTCTAAGATTTGCACATACCTCTTTCCTCTATTCCCTTGTGTATTACTCCTTGGTAATTTATAAAACCATATATTATAGAAAAAATCCAACATACACAGGTAAGTACAAAAGTATAAATGAATCCATTATGTATCAAATAACTTAAACAAAAATCAACTTCTGTCCAAATTTCTACACCCCAAACGACTTCTTTTCTACCTTTCTTAAATTGTTCTGAAGCAAATCATATAATATCATTTGTAAATATTTTGCTACCTCTAAAACATAAATGTTCTTTAAAAACATGGCTATGGTAGCATTGTCATACTTTAAAATAAATGAACTAATTATTCTTAATAGCCACCAAATATTTTCCAGTTTCCAAACTTCCTAGTCTCTTCTTCCCCATCACCCTTACTCTCCAGATTTCCAGAAATGTTGCAAAAAATCTAAATAGTATTATATAACCATTAATACTTCTTTAAAAAAAATCACATTATTTTCTTGGTGTTCTTCAGTTTTATGCAGCAAAGAATGCAGATAATTCTTAAAAACTTTATCTCCACTAGCTTACCTTTCTAATTACTCTTTTTTGAGAGTCACCTTCATAAATTCCTCCTATTTCTTCCTTCCTCAAATATGGTTGTACCATGTTCTTCCTTTCTTTCTCCCCCATTCTTTCCCTCTTATTCTCCTCCAATCTCATTCTCTTTTCTCATTTTCATTGTCTCCACATTGCACATGACTAATTCCCATTTCATCCCTGGCCGCTCAGCTGGGATGAACCAAGTTGGCATATTTCTTACTGACAGAAACCAGCTAGCTTTTCTCTTGGTTGTCCAGCTATTATTCCTCCCCGACACACTCAACATTCCTCACTTGAATGGGCCTACCATCATCCCTGCTAGCCAGCATCTCATCCTAGGCTCTGGATCTTACCATTGGCATAACTCTACCAAGACTCAGAGACATTTCTCCCCAGGACACACACTGACAGATAAAATCAGGCAAGCTTTCTTCCTGCCTTTCTTCCTTTCCATTCTCATCTTTCATGAGGATGGACTGACTCTCTCATGGGTCATGGAAAGTCAAGCCTATTCAGTCTTATAGGTCAAGCCTTTCAGGTATTACTTATAAGGTTGTTAGCTTACCTATAATTTAACATAAGGCTCTGATTTTTATTTTCACTTTTTAAATTGGGATGACAGAACTAACCTTCTAGAGAGCAAAAATGGCTGACTTATAGCTCGCACTAAAAATGGCGGCTACCATTGCCATCACCACGGTCTCTCAATGTACCCTAATGACCATCCTTGCCACCTGCCAATCACCCTCAGCATGTATACCCCGGGGGAGTCACCTTCAGGAGTCTGACCAGCACATCAGCACATGTGTACCCTGTTTTCTCTGGGGCTAAGGACCCTCCAGTCCTTCCTGGCTGAACACTTCCTTCCAGTGATTATCCATTTGTAAAACAAAAAATTCTTATTGCATCTGAGCCTTGGTGAGTAGCTAATCCTAGCTACCTAGGAGACTGAGGATCATGGTTCAAAACCATCCCATGCAAAAAAGTCTTATGAGACTCTTATCTCCAATTAACCAGCAAAAAGCCAGAAGTGAAGGCATGGTTCAAATAGTAGAATACCATGCTGAGTGAAAAAAAACAAGGGATAGTAAGGCCCACACAAAAATGATTACTTAAAGCAGTTTGCCACTTAACTATTTTGAATAGACAGCTCAAAGGCAATAAGTATGCTTAGGCAATTTGTAATTACCACCAACCATTCCCAGAACTCTTTCATCATCTCAACTTGAAACTAGGACCCCATTAAACAATTCCCCATAGTCCTTCTTGGACACTCAGATCCTGGAACTTTTTATTCCACTTTCTGTCTGTAAGAATTTGCCTGTTGAAGTTACTCCTGCACCTGGACTGATGTGGTCTTCGTCCTAATACATCTGGCTTCTTTCACTTAGTATAATATTCAAGGTACGACAGGCTTCTTTCTATCTCTGTGGATTTATGATTTGGGGAGCCTAAGGCTCCGGAGAGCATTAGCACAAGCTCACATCTTATTCCAGGTGTGTGGATGCCAAATTGAAACAAGTTCAATTTTTGCCCCAAGGGGAAGGTAAAAAGAAGCCTTTGATTTTAGGACCTTTGATCCATTTTATGTTCTGGTGTGGGCACTTCACGAGACATGGAATATCTTTCTATTTGGAAAAACACCTACTCCTACTTTCTTTCTCCTTTCAAGAAAATGACTGAGGATGCAGCATAGGCATGAGGGTGGTAAAGAGGATGGAGATGAGAGGGAGGAGCTCAACAAAGATTCTGGGGGCCTATTAATGTACTGTCCTAGAGAAAAATTGTAAAATGGTTTATCATGGAATTGCCCACTGGTTTAGCGCATTTCAGAAACATGAATACATAACACACCTATACTTTGGGCTAAGCTCTACTTGAGTCTTCTTGATTTCCTTTTGCAAATGAGAACTTCAGATATTGAAGAGTATAAAGATTAGCCCAAGGTCACACTGCCTGGGAAGGTTGAGCTGGGGTTCATAGCTTTATTCTCTCGGGGGGGGGGGGGGGGAAGAGGAGTTTGTCTATAGGAGCAACACATTTCACCACCTTCTTCAGTCTCTCTCATATACTTCTCCCCCACCCTCATTTTTTTTTCCTCTCAAGGAATCAGGAAGCAAAGATCCTAAGAACAATCTGTTGCGGCAACATTGAGAGTAAAAGAAAGAAAGAAAATTTTAAAGAATGTATCAAATCTTCTACCTTGAGATCATCCAAGTTAGGTGGGAGGGGGCCTGGTTTGAGAGAAGGGATACCAGTTTGTCCAGAAAAACTGTTTTTGACAGGAGACAGAGGGGTATTGCTCAGTGGTGTTGAAGAGGAGGTTGGAGTTCTAGCCATCTGTTCATTTGGTTCTCTGAAAAGCAAATGCAGAGGCACTTAAAAAAAGAAATAGGTACACACCAAGCTGCCTTTGTATCAGACCACAGAGTAACTGCCTACAGGGACCCGCCATGTTAGAATCAGCAGCAGAGGGCAGGATGAAGAGAAACAGCACAGACTAGTTGGCCAGTGGCAGAAGATCCACCCTCCCAACTCCCCCACTGGTTTCTACTCCTCAAGCGTTGTTTGGGGGAGACAGGAGGCCATGATGGAGGCCGTGGGATAGGGAAGCCTCCATGCCCTTGCTTGAATAGTGAAGCATGGTTGCACCCGGCATGCAGCACGATTACAAGTCTGATTTGAGGGTGACTAAAAACAGATGATAGAAGCCACATCCAACTCGATAGGTGAGGGTGTTGATCATGTAAACGGTGACCCAGCAGAGTGGTCACTCAGCACCTGGACCCAGGAGTCCATTTCTTCCCCAAATAGAAGTACACCAGAATGGCGAGCCATGACCAGAATACATTCTTAGATCTTCCACGACGTAGCTTTGGAAATACTCACTGGCTTCCAAGATGCTGCTTCTCATTCCCACCTGCCTCAAGCAGAGGGAAGTCATTCCCCACCTCTGCCCTCCGTGCCCACCCTGGGCTGGCCAAACTCACTTGAGCTGTGCTTGGTGTATCCCGGGGTAGCTAAACCTGTGCTGTTGCTGCTGCTGCTGCTGCTGCTGCTGCTGCTGCTGGCTGAGGATCTGCAGCTGTAGAAAGAGCTGCTGCTGCTGGAGTAGCCTGGCATAGGCTGAGTCCATGGGTGGTGGAGACTTCTCTGCCTTCTGGTCTGGAGGAATGTACTGGTGGTATTTGAGTTTCTTCACCTTTGGCTTGGGGTCTTTGGGCTTTTTGTGGCGGTTCTTATTGTCCCCCAAGGTCTTGGACTGCAAAGAGGATGAGGAAATGGCATGTGCTTTGGTTGATTGGGGAAAAACCTGGCATTTTTTTTTTTTTTTTTTACCTGTGAGGAGTTGTCCTCTAAGGGCTATTCTCAAATCCTAGAAATACAATATGGCAAAGCCACAAAGCTATGGCAGGGAATCTTACATCTTAGAAAGGGCTCCAAGGAGCAAAATTTTCCTCCTGGATGGAACAGAATCCAATGGAAGCCCAAGTCTTACAGAGTGCTCTTTCTTAACTGATAGAGGATAGATAGTCTAGCATCTAATTGGGCAACTATTCCTAAAACTGTTCTTTCAAGTGTATCAGTGCAATCATCTTCAATTAAGCATGCCGTAAGCTGACTTATTCTCGACATAAGCTTAGAGGAGATTAAAATTGTCTTTGGAAATCTAGAAGAATGGGTCTGACGGAGGATAAAAGAGATTTAACTTTTTCCCCTCTCTCACTCAGTGTGCATACAGAATCAGGGTGTCACTTTATAAAAAGAATCATTACTGAACCCCCTGGGTTCCTTCTCATTCCAATGGTTTCCCATTATAGACTTTGATTTGAGCACAGTAAAGGCGGTTAAAGGTACCAGGACTGGAAACGAAGAGAAATGTTTGAACTGGTACAATTGGGAAGATATTCTGTATTTTATGTTCATCTTGTTGCACAAGATAGGGACTATAAATACACTACTGACTTAATAAAAATAGTTGCTATAATTCTATATCCATCACCTTTTGAACTCAAAAAGCCTCCAAATGATAGACTGAACTGAGTACATACTGTTATCAGTCCAAAAGTAAAATTTCCCTAGCTACTTAAAAGGCTGAGATCTAAAGGTAGAGGTTTGAAGCCAGTGTAAGCAAAAAAGTCCACAAGACTCAGCTCCAACTGATCAGCAAAAAGCCAAAAGTAGAGCTGTGGCTCAAGCGGTAGAGTATCAGCATCAAGTGAAAAAGCTAGGCAAACAGTGATTTAAAGCCCCTGTGCTTATAGGGAAAAAAAAAGTCTTGAATTTTATTAGAGGAGGTTGAAATAAAGCAATCATAAATAAATGGAGAACTTGATTCCATTAGGTTCCAGACGAGGGCGCTCCCGAATCGCTGGCTGGCACATTCTGATTTGGCAGCTGTCCTGTTTCAACCTCAAAATACTCCTCTAACTGTGGCCTTGTGGGAGGGGCCTACAACTCGCCTTTCTCTGACTCAGCGCATCCCACAGCAAAGGTGTTTTTATTTTCTTCTAGACGTCTTCCCAGAGACTAATAAATACCAAGCACAACTGTTTCTCTGTGCTTAATGTCTTTATTTCTCCCCTGCTTGTCAATCGCTCAGCTTTCTAGTTAATTATTCAGTCGTCTTGTATCTGGAGAGTTTTTGCAGGATTAGGCACCAGCTTGGCCCTGCTTTGTCCCAGCTCCCTGGCTATTCGGCTTCAGTGCTCTGGCTTACAACTAAATCAGGAGTCAAGAAAATTATTTCCTCCTCTGTGATATCTTAGCATTTTGAGCATTCCAAAATATACTAAAATCAGATCTGTTTCTCTGGATAGTATGGGGCAGAGATGGTTGGATTTATTTATTTACACATTTATGCAAATGTGTAACTTAATTTCCTTTTTGGATTCATGCAAATATGTAACTTAATTTCCTTTTTGAACTCAGAGGATATGTAAAGCTGGGTTTGTTTGCTTATTTTTCTCTTTAGAGCTGACTGGCCAATGGAAGGAGACCACAAGCAACTCTTTCTTTTCTTTTCTTTCATTCTTTTTTTCTTTCCCTTCTCTGTCTCCCTCCCTCTCTTCCTTCTTCCTTCCCTCCCTCCCTTTCTTTTTTTTATTATTGTGAAAATACTGTACAGAGGGGTTACAATTACATGGGCAAGATAATGAGTATATTTCTTGTCAAGCATTGTAGCCTCCTCCTTTGTTTCCCCTTCCCATCCTCCCCCCTCCCCCAATCCTCCCCCTCCACCAAAGTTGTAAAGTTCATTTTCGACAAAATGACTTGTACATCTCATTGTTGCAATGGGTCCACCTGTATCCTTATTTAAACGATTTGCTTTTCCCCTTCCCCTCCACAAATTATACCAACATCAAATACAGTGAAAGCAGGGGTTATGCTGTGGGGGAGGGACATACAAAGCAACAAAGAAATAATCTTATAAATGTGTTAGAAACAATCGCATGAAAGAAAAATACATTTGAATACATATCTTAGGGTTCATTTCCCTAACATCAATTTCCCTAACATCAACTTATCTGACCTTTTCTGCTTGACTCAGACATATACTACTTATTGCAAATAAGGGAAACCATGGGACCTATGTTTCTTTGGGCCTCACTTACTTCACTTAATATAATTTTTTTCAAGTCTTTCCATTTCCTAACAAATGGGTCAATGTCATTCTTTCTGATGGAGGCATAGAATTCCATGGTGTATATATACCACATTTTCTTGATCCATTCATCTACTGAGGGCCATCTGGGTTGGTTCCATATCTGAGCTATAGTAAATAATGCTGCAATAAACATAGTTGTGCTGGTAGCTTTAGTGTGATCTTGTTTGTGAACATTTGGGTAAATGCCCAAAAGTCCCTCCCTCCCTCCCTCCCTCCCTCCCTCCCTCCCTCCCTCCCTCCCTTCCTCCCTCCCTCCCTTCCTTCCTCCCTTCCTTCCTTCCTTCCTTTTTTAAGGTACTGATGTTTGTACTCAGCGTTAGGCAGGTACTCTAGCACTAGCTCCAGCACTCCTTCCATCCAGCTTTTTTGCTGATTATTTTTAAAATGGAGTCTTGTGGACTTTTTTGCCTCAGCTCCCTTTGGACCTAGATCCTCAGATCTCAGCCTCCTGAGTAGCAAGATTACAATGCCAGGCTTATTTTCGTATTTTTAAATGACATCCTTCTGAATGATTTTCAGATGAATTTCATTTACATTATTCCTTTCTCTAATGAACAATGATTGAGAGACTTTTGGTGAGCCTTTTTGTCAATTTGGGTATCTCCGAAGAACTACCCATTCAAGCCCCTTGGGCATATCTTTTATTTATTTGAGGAAGGCACTATTGGGTCACTGGTGCTCTGATCATTAGAGCTGGCTCCCTCTGGCATACTGGTCTCATCTCACACAATTGTAGCATTTTTTTGGGTTTGTTTGCTTTGCAAGTGTGTGTGTATGTGTGTGTGTGTGTGTGTGTGTGTGTGTGTGTGTGTGTGTGTGTGTGTGTGTGTATGCGATACAGGGATTTAGCCTCAGGGCTGCAATTTGCCCAGATCACTTGCTAGGCTGGCACTGTTACCACTGAGCCACACCTCCCACTCTGCATTTTGCTGTTTTTTTTTTTTGAGATAGGAGGTCACTTCCTACCTGGGTATGATCCACCTATATTAGGCTTCCCCCCCTAGCTAGGACAACAGATACACATGACTGCATCAAGCTAACATCTGAGAAGGGGTGTTTCAATCATTTCTGCTTAGGCTGGCTTTGAACCATGATCCTCCCAATCTCAGCCTACCAAGTATCTAGGATTATAAGTATGAGTTACTGAAACTTGGCTCCCTCTCAGGCCTCCTAAGGCTGACAGCTTTATTAATTTGAAATGTGCACATTTTAAATACTCTGGTAGAAGCAGTAATGTAATTTCTCTTTATATATAGTCTTAGTTTGAACCATTTCCTCCTGCTTCCTCTGTAATGGACAAGATAAATCGATAATCACATAATTTTAAAACTGTTGAATGGAGAGAATTGTAATCTGAGTGGAGAGCTTTACTAGGAAACTAAAGTGTTTGCCATCCGTTGAGAACATAACATTGTTACTTTATCATTTTATTTTAATTTATAACCCTCCTTTATAAAAAGATCCACTATGCTATATATTAAGTGATGTCATTAAACATCCTCTCAAATCAAACAGAAGCTGAGTAACATAAAATGCCATAATAGAAGGCCAAGTGATGATCAAGGAGCTCATTGAACAGTGAGAACTCTGTGGATTGAAGGCTGAGATTAAATAAGAAATTCATTATAATAAATGGGTTCTTGTTCAAGACCTACAACCAACCAAAACATAAAATAAAATAAATAAATGGATGCTGGTGGCTTCTGCCTGTAATCCTAGCTACTTAGGAGGTTATGTTTAGAGGACTGCCAGCCTAGACAGAAAGATCCATGATATTCCACCTGCAAAAGAGCCAACAAAAAGCTGGGCTGGTAGCCCGGCTCAAGTAGTAAAGCATCATCCAAACAAATGAATTGACCAAAATGGAGATGCTGAGTTGAAACCTCAGTACTAGCAGAACAAACAGCATCATAATTATTACAGCTATTCATCTACTGTGAATGTCACCTCTTGGTCCCTGCGTCATTTCTCTAGGAGGAAACTGCCATGACTGCTAAGCTTTTATATTATGCAAAGCCTTCCTGGCACAAGATCCAACCTCCCTGTTCTGTTTTATGGCCCTGGCAAATCAGGTGTGTATTCCAATCAGCTGTGTCTCTCTTAAGGGTGACCTCATGAAATATTTTTAATTTAGGAATATGGTAGCTGAGCTGTAATCTCCCAAAATGCCAACACACAGTGCAGACAAGCCCTAGAATAGAATCTTGGTCCCTACACAGATGGCCCCTTTCTCAACTCCTGTTCTGTGATACTTCTAGGGGATTGAACCTGGTTATGGGTCCGCAGGACTCTCCTTACGTAATCAAACCTGACTCAAGGAGCTCTGCCCCCAGCAGTTTCTGTGAGCTGGGTGCTCAGTAGGAATGGAGTGGGGGTAGGGGAGGGGTGCTGAGCAGTCCCTACCTTTACAGCAGCGTGCACAGGAATGGAAGCGTTGAGCCCGTGCTTCCCTGAGTCGGACTGGTTACTGGGCTGGGAGGTGGAATCATTCTTATCATTTTCTGAGCCTGATGTATGATCCTGAAATCCAGATGTTATTATTAGGAGACAGGAATAAAAGGTGAGCAATATACAAATGTTAAAGTCTCCTAGGCAAAGCTCTACTGCTTTGGCACCCTGGCTTCTTATCTAGGCAGACAGGAACTGCTAGTACTTTCTAGGAGAACATCACCAAATCTATCAGCCAATCCAGGGTACTTCAGACAGAGAAAGGAGGCGATTTCCAAACTGATTTCTGAAGAGGAGTCTAAGGCTGGTTTGCTCCAACGAGACAGGGGTATCTGGTCATGCTGTGGAAGGCTCTGCCTGTCCATGACATGGGCCATCTCCTGGTTTAATAAGGAGATTGAAAAGAAGATAGGAAGAGGACAGAGTGAGTGTAGGAGCTTTAGGGAAAAGTAGAGCTACAATAAATGGTGTTGGTAGTTAGAGGAAAAAGTGTTTGGGGCTGGGGGTTTAGCTCAGAGGAAGAACTCCTGCCTGGTGAGCGCAAGGCCCTGAGTTCGGTCCTCAGCTCTGGGGGAAAAAAAAGTGTGTATGTGGGTACCTATGTGTATATGAGTACATGCCTGAGTAAATGTGAATATATGCATATGTAAATATATATATATGGGTACAGGTCTGAATGTGTCTGAGTATGTGTATGCCTGTGTGTTGAGCATATATGCATGTGTGTTTATATGTATATGTTTTTAGTTATGTATACACATATGTGCATATGTATTTATGTATATACATTTGCTGACATAAACGTTCACATGAATGAGTAACTACAAGACATGTCTGGGTAAGTGTTTATGCATGAAGATTATCATGTCTATTTGTATATGCATGTGGGGTATATATGTATGTGTATGTACATATATGCACATGTGAGATATGTGTGTGCAAATGCATATACAAATTCATGAACACATGCATAAAGATGAATAGATAGATAAATGTAGGAGGTGCATGCATGTGCGTGCATGTGTGTGTGTGTGTGTAGGGTCATCCAAACCTTTACAAGAGGCACATTTCTGTCTGCTGAAGACTCCAAAAAAGGCATAATTCTCTTTTCTTCCTCTCCCACATTCCTACCCAGTGACTCTTACCCAAAGGAAAAAGAGCCTGCTCAGGATCTCTCCCCAGGAGGTCAGAATGGGGCTGCTCAGCACCCTGAGCTCTGGCACCTGCCTCCAGACCCATGGACTGCTTTTCTCTTAGAATCTCGGTGTCCTCATCTGTCAGCTGTTTCTGGGTGAAATAACCTGAAAAGACTTTGGCATTTTTCCTGGGTTTGCTCAGGGCTCGTTCCTTCTTCCCCTCTCCTAGAGTTAAGCAGAGGAGAACTTGTCTTCTGCTCAAGCCATTCTTAAATCTGAAGCTCAGGCATTTGCTGTCAGAATAATCTGTGCAGACAGTCTGATGAAACGCTTAACGTTATCAAAGAAGTTTGGTTTCAAAGAGCAGCCTCGGCATGTAGGCAGGGGGAAGAAAAATGCTTTGATTATAAACTCTTGCACAATAAATGCACAAATATCTCAGCTCTGCTTCTCATACCTCCCGTTTCCCTCCCTCTTTGTATTTTCTTCTTGGTTCAGCTTCCAGTTTGCTCTGATAGACTGAAGATAGGGCTGACAGCAACCAGTGACTAACAGGGTTTCAGGAAAATGGGCCATGGATAGTAATTTCTAAGATTGCCCCTGCTTATCTGTATGGATTTCCAGGGGAAAAACATTTCTAATACAGGCTGACTGTCTTTAAACCAGAATTTCAAGTTGAAAACACTCTAAAATAGGGATCCTTTTGAGGCTGACAAGATGCTACAGGTAGAAAAGTCCATGGCCCTCAAAGTTTCGTTTCATGAACAAAATTGTTCAAAGCATCATGTAAAAGTAACTTCAGGTTATTGTAGAACTAAAGTATGAACTCTGGGTCTCCCGTTTGCTAGGCAAGACCCCTACTACTTAAACCATACCCCACAGATCAGGAATAAAGTTGTGGTCTAGTGGGTTCTCTTCAGAGGAAGGACACTGCAGAATCAGGACAGCAAATATGTCTACATGTCACGTCCGCACAAGTGTATCTCTTCCTGCCAGGTGTATATCCCCAACATCTCCTCTTTAGAAGTCCATAAGCATCATCAAGCTGGGCTGGGGAAAATGTTGATTGAGCCTGCATGTGGCTTCTGGCAATAGCAACTCCGGATTGGCAGCACCGTGGTGATTCCCAAGGTCACCTGATTCCTCAGCCTCATACATTTCAGTTCTTCCACCGCTGGAATCAACAGCAAGAGGGTCTACCCTAGAGCGGAGACTGTGGGAGTCAATGAGGTGATGGCTGTAAAGTGCCCAGCATTAGTTACTCCTGAACCAGAGTAGGCAACCTGGTAGTAGCTGTTGCTTACATTCTGCATAAATGTGTTTTATGAGTGTTTTCAATACACGTTCCTCGCTCTTGAGGTTTTGTGGATTTGTCCAGAAAGAGGTAAGCTCTAAGTGTGGGTGAGGGCTGCAAGCTAACTTTGTAGTAGCTTGGTAGTTCAGTAATTGTTAAAAGGTAGAACACACATGGGCCTGCTGGCATTTTTTTCTTTCCTTCACCCCATTCCCTGGAAACTCAGCCATGACTCAACAGTCTAAGGAATTGGACTGATCCTGTGTGTGTGTGTGTGTGTGTGTGTGTGTGAGAGAGATCTCCAGGATGAATAAGGTGAGAAGGGGCATAAAAAAGATGCAAGTAAGCCAGGTGTGGTGGCACATGCCGGTTGTTGCAGCACAGGGTATTGTGTGATTGGGGGTGGGGGAAGGGAGGGAGGGAGGTGGCAGAAGACTGAAACAGGATTATGAGTTTGAAGCCAGCATGCAAAACTCTGCCCACCTCACAAGCAAAATCAAACAAACAAAACATGAGATGGATCATTAAGAAACAGCTCTGAAGTTTCCGCCACATCAACGGTAGCAAGATTGATTTCAAGACTCGGGCATTGGTAGCTCACGTCTATAATTCTAGCTATTCAGAACCATGATCTGAGGATCATGGTTCAAAGCCAGCCTGGGCTACAAGACTCTTATCTCCAATTAACCAACAGAAAGCCAGAATCGAAGGTGTGGCTCAAGTAATAGAGCACTGGTCTTGAGTGAAGAAGTTAAATGAGAGCACCACCCTGAGTGTGTGCTTACACACACACACACACACACACACACACACACACACACACACACACACACACACATACATACAGAGAGAAATATTATGAAGAAATGAGGAAACTCAGATGCCATAGCTGATGTCTTACCTCTATTGTCCCCACAGGGCCTGCCAAAGGGGCTTCTGTGGTTTTTGCATCCTGGGGGGATCCTGCAGCACTCTGGGGGTCTTCATTTCGAGTGTGAACTGGAGAAAGCCCATCACTGCTGCTGTCTTCTTCAAATGCAAATGCATCTGTGGCCTTGGAGAAGCTCACCTGCTTCCCTAAGGGAGGGAAACCCAAGGCCTGAGTCAGTGTGGGGGGACCCCAGAAGGCTGGTTTAGGAATACTTTTACATTTGGTAGCAAGCCTACATCTCTTTCTGGCCTTTTTCTTTTGTTGTTGTGTTTTCCACGTTCAGAAAAGAGTGGAGATACATTTTTTTTTATTGTGAAAAGACTGTACAGAAGGGTTACAATTACATGGGCAAGATAATGACTACATTTCTTATCAAGCATTGTAGCCTCCTCCTTTGTGTCCCCTTCCCATCCCTTCCCATCCTCCCCCTGTCTGTTTCCTCAGTGAGAACTTGTATTTATAAATGTGGTCTGCTAGGCTGAGAGAATGAATGAACAATGTATGAAAGGTTTATCCTCACCTGTGAAACTTTATTTTGGGGTTTTATACCTTTCTCCACATTTTCTATGGGAATCCAGATCTTTCTTTGAAACTACATTGGAGAAGGTGGAGGAAAGTACATGGCCTGAGACTGTACCATGAGGGTGAAGAGAAAGCAGAAGATGGCTGCTCTCCCTGAGGTTTTTCAATGAGAAACAAATTGATAAGACAGCATGCTGTTCACATGATCTTCAAGCCAAAAGCTAGTCACGTGGGACAAAATGTTTAATGAACTTTGTTAATAAAGGGATGTAAGGTTACTAAGTTGAAATTCCTGTGTCAGGACTAGCTAATGTTAACTGCGGGTATCCCAACGTGCCCCTCAAACCAAGCATTAATAATTAATTAATTAATTAATTAATAATTAATTAATAAAAGTGGTGTCCTGGTTGGGTGGCAGTGGCTCACGCCTGTAATCCTAGCTACTCAGGAGGCTAAGATCTGAGGATTGAGGTTCAAAGCCATCCCAGGCAGGAAAGTCCATGAGACTCTCATCTCGAATTAACCACCAGAAAAGTGGTGCTGTGGGTCCAAGTGATAGCACTCCAAGTGAGCACTAGCCTTGAGTGAAAAAAAAAAAAACAAAAAACCTCAGGGATAGCACCTAGACCCTAAGCTCAAGTCCTATTACTGATCAAATATAAAAAAAAAAATAAAAAAGCTATGTCCCAGAAATGTGTCTGATGCTTATGTATTTACTAGGGGAATTTTCTTGGTATCTTGAGTAGATTTTGCAAGTGTCCAATGGCTCAATCCTGCAGAGACTCTTATTCAGTTGGGTCCTGTAGGGGAGCTGATAGACTGGCTTAGGGAGAGAGGTTATCATTCCGGGTGGTCTTATAAGCACATCCTAAAATGTCTCTTCCATTGTGTATTGCCAGCTTTCCTCTGGTTTGTAATCCAACTACAAGTACACAATGTGCCCAAGCCACATGGTCCCCTAACCTGACTGCAAGCAGTGCCTCTCTGAAAGGAATTTCAGCATTATCAGGAAGCTTTAGAAAGCCCGGTATTCTGCAGTCACACTCACAAGAACTTCTGACTCTTGCTAGGTGCAGATAAGAGAAAGCAGCACTCACTGTAGCCAAGAGAAGGGCAACAGGGAGCTGGAAGTAATGGAACAATGTGGCTTGAGGCTTGTCAGCACTACCACCACTGGCATCTGTCACCGACCCTCCTGCAGACATCTGAGTGTCAAATCAGGAAAGAGGCCAGGCCAGGCCAGGGCAAGTGGAAACTCTGGTAACCGGCCTCATGGGAAGCCTGCTAACCTGGAGAGACTTGACTTTACTGTTTTGGGCTGTGTCAGTCACTTATAAAAATTATTAATTGAATTGTTGTAATTATAAAAATAATATGGATTATAATTTTAAAAATTCAAGTGATGCCACATGCCTAGTGCATACCATCTGTTTCAAGTTAATAAGTTCCTGTCTCTTTTAGATTTAACTTTATGTATCTAGAAAGATATAGACATACACATTGAAAAGTCATTTCATACAGATAAGATTGGGTGGAATCTGCTACTCAAGGGCCAGGGCTGTGGCTCAGTGGTAGAGAACTTGTACAGCATGTATAGTGACCCTAGGTTTTATTCCCAGCCTTGGAAATGAAAAAAAAAAAAAAAAAACACAGTTCTGAAATTTGCCTTTCCCCTCCTTCCACAGTGTTTCTTGGAGATCTTTCCAGATGGGAACATAGAGCCCTTCCTTATTTTTAAAATAGACATGTATTATTCCATTGGACTGATGGGAAGTTTTATTTTTAATTTATCCTTACCCCCTTTTTCTCAACTGTAAAATTTTACAATAAGAATACAGAGAATATTTAGTAGAACCTGAAATAAATAGCTATTAGCCTTTTCTGTACTTTATTTTTGTCTTTTTTTTTTCTTTTGGTCCTGGGAATTGAACCCAGAACATTGCACTTGCTAGGCAAATGCTTTGCCACTGGGCTATATCCCAGCTCTGGCCTGTCCTTATTATTGTGTGAACAAGCTGCTCATCTTCTACCAGGAGGTTTCATTGGGTCTTTGACAAATGCTAACTTTTTCTTAGAGACCAGGGTTCTTTCTTCTCCATTGGAACTCTACTCCCAAACGCCTCCCTCCTTTAAGAATCCAGTTTGTGGATACTATTTCTTCTTTCCTTTCAGCATACATTCTAGGCTCCCTAGGTGTTGCTTTCCTGTGACGTGAGTAGCCCTCTGTCTTCTCTCCAGATCATTGGCCTGAGATCTCCTAAAGAAGATATCTAAGGCTGAGGCTCTAAGTCAGAGCAGGGCTCTGTTGTTCCAGAAGATGACATTGTCAGATCCACTCCACAGAAATATTTAGGGACTGAACTGAGACTGAAGTCATAGACCTGGGGGGTCTCAGAACCAGTCTGTAGATGTGGTGGCAACATAGGTTACCTGCAACCTGCTAGCCATCATGGAGGTTATCTACCTCCTAGGTTGGTTGGAGGAGAGGATGATGGGAGCAGCATAGAAAATAACCACCACCTGCCCATTGTGCCCTTAGGATATCTCCAGAACCCCACCATATTGACCCAATCTTCTGAGACTTGAGGGGCTAAATGTGACAACTTGATGCCGAGAACCCAAGGCAAGAGACTAAGAAGGGAGATTGAGGTGACTTTCCCTTGGACTTGATTAGGAAAGACTGGAAAAGACTGTAGTGGTGCTGTAAAGAGCTAGGCAAGAGGTTCTGGAATGATGTAGAAAAGCCTAGAAGGAGAACGCTTTGCAGGTTCAACCAAATGCAGATTGAAAATATTAAGGGGAAGCCTTCTATCTGTACTGAACATTAGAGACATTATTTTCTTGTCATTTCTCCCCAAATAATAAGTATAAAAATGTTTATATAGCGTTTACATGGAATTAGGTATTGTAAATCTAGAGGAATTTAAACTGTAAGAGATTACAAATTATATAGGCAAACACATAGGATTTTGGTGTCCACAGGGATATCCTAGAACCTATCCCTTGCAGTTATTAAGGCATTTTATTAATCTGTCCTTTTTTTTCCCCCAGAACTGAAGGTGACATGTCTGTTATTGCATTCATTTCTACCCTGGGAACTTTGAGAGGGGAAGAGACAAGCTGAAGTGGAATCAGATAAGATCTGATGAAGACAGAACGCTAAAGAAAGGCCTAAAGAAAAGACTATCTCTGTATCTCCATGAGATACAATCAGAGAATTTGTCAGGGATACACTGCCAAGGAAGTGTTGGTGGTAGTTAGACAGAGTAGATAGCGACACTAGGTTGACCAAGAAGTCTCTTGGAGGGGGAGGGGATTCTCCTGGAGGAGAGGGGGAAATTCTCCTGGAAGAGGTGGTGGGGGTGGGAGGAAAGAATTCTCCTGGAGGAGGGGAGATTGAATTCTGCCTGGAATGATAACCAGCTGTGGACAGGACACAGACACGGAGAAGGCCATTTGATAATGAGAGAGTGAATGAGAAACTATACAGTGTCCATGAGCACAAATGGAGTGGGAAGTGTGAGTGGGAAGTGTGGGAAATGACCAGCCAGGGAAAAGTATTATCTTAAGAGCCAATCCCTGGAGAGTTAGAATCCTAGGGATAAACTTTTCAGGTTAACATCCACCACTGAAGAAGGTCCCCACTTAAGTCAGTGCCAGGATGAAAGCCATGGCTACATGCAACCAAATACAAGGTCCACACTCAGTTAAGTAAATCAACCGAGTCCTAAGACCCCAAATATGGCTCCTATCTGGCATCTAAGACAGTGGGACATCATCCTAGCCAACAGATGTGCTGAGGACCACCCAGGGTCATCCAGGTACATGGGAACTACCCATCACCATTCCTTAGGGGCTGTGTGATTTGGATTTGACATGGCTGGGACACATCCACTCATTTCTGCTGCCAACAAGAGCCAATGCAGGGGAGGGGCACTGGAGAACACTTGCCAGTATCTTCCTCTTGATGCAACTGTGTGTGGTGTTCAGTGGAAGCAGGCTCTGGAGTCAGACACCAGACAATGAACACCTAGGTATTCATTCCTTGATTCCACTGTGTCAACTATAGTGTGACTATCTGAGCCTCAGTCTCCCCATCTATATAATGGGAATATTCATCACTACCTCTTGGTGTTTTCAAGGGTGAAATTACCCAGATAAAGCATTGAGCCCAGACGCTGACAGAAGTATTCCACAACATCTAGCTTGCTTGTGGCTAGTGCTTGCCCACTTGGGGCAGGCCTCCAGTCTACTTTTATTTGTTTGTTTGCTTGCTTGTTAACTGGAGATGGAGTCTCTTAGACTTTTCTGCCTTAGCTTGCAGATCCTCTAGTCCCAGCTTCCCAAGTACCTTAGGATTACAGGTGTGAGCCAGGGAGCCAGACTTATAGTTACTGTTTTGGATGGGGTCATTGGCTGGTCTCAAGTTTAATATTCAAAAATAAAACAAGGACCTTGGAAGCAGATGATTCTGTGTTGAGCTTGCAAAGGGCAGCATAAGTCCAGAGCCAATAAATCCAGTTTATTAAAGACCTAGCTTCCCCAAAGCAGGGCAAATGTGGCTGAACAAGTAGGAATCTCTCCTTCCTGGTTCAAGCCAGGCTCCTGCAGAGCAGAAAGATGG